GTGCAGATTTATGACTAGCAAGTTTCCCTTGGTAATAGACTTTGAAATGTGGCATTCCAGGGTCAGGAAGTTGGAGGTGGTCCTATATCTGATAGAGTGGCATAGGTATTTAATTAAATCCATGGGGAAAGAAAAGGGAGAAAAATCCCTGGAGAAGAAGAAACTAGATGCTCCACCCTAACACCTGGGGTTAATTTTATAAATGGCAGATGAATAGTCACTTAATCCTCCCCATCCTCACACCCACACAAATTACTCTTAGGAATGCTTTTTTGGACAAATAGCTTATTCTAATGTAAACCCTCAAATATGCTAAGAGTAGTTTTTATTTTAAAAAATCTGATTAAGTGAGAATTTTGTAAAATATTGCTATAGAATCTCTGGAATATTTCATATTATTCTGTGTATCTTTTGGATTGCTGATGTGTCTCTTCTTAGTGCTGAAAAAGGTTGACACTGCTGGGCTCCTTTTATTATATTTTTATTTCTGCTAGAAATTGGCAATATTTTCTTCTTTTTCATAAATATTTATATTGTTCTGTTGTTTATAAATATTCCTGTTTTTCATAAGTTAAATATTGAGTGAATGTAAGAATTTTGCTGATAAATCCACATTCAAAACAATTAGTGAAATTAACTTTGAATAAATTCATACAAGTAGAATGCATTGATAAATCTAAAAAAAATCACTTGTAACTTTTAAGAAAGAATGTTTATAGAAGAAACCTATTTCCAAGTTGAAGCAAGCAGATAAATTGTTTTTTCATTTTTAAATATGTTCCTCTGTTCTTTAATAGCAACAACAAAAACTAACAACAACAAAAACTAATTCTCAAGAAGAGTATTGATTAGTTATAAACTGATTATGAAGCAACCCTGGAATTGGTGGCCCAGTCACTTCTTATACAATTAAATCCCTCCTTCTTCTTTATGGAAATTCAACTGTGGGCATTTTAGCATTAGCCTAAACAATGGGTTTGAATATGTTAAGCCCCTAACAATTAGAGAGAAGTTTGGGGCATTGAATAATGTGGAATGATGCAATTGAATCTGACAGCTTTAACAGTCAGCCCTCTCATGGGACCTCAAAGTTGTTCACACTTGGTTTCATCTCTCATCACATGCTGAGTATTAAAACCTTACTGGAAGGTGTCTTAAACTTAAATGAGGTGTATATTAGAAAATATTTAGTATCTTAAAAGTTGAGATGACTGATAGTTTGTGCTTTTTAAAAAGATTTTATAAGATTCAGTAATATACAGCAGGGCTATTTTTCTATCAGTGTGCTTTTTTAAAAGTAAATTTCGAAATGCAACGTATAGCTCAGCAGAACTTTCCCCCACCCCTACCTTTAAGTCATTTCTGATTCTAGTGTCTACCTAGACTAATCCACACAATTGTCTTGCCAAAATGTTCGGAAGTAGTTTGTGATTACCTTCTTCTTAGGGCTAACATGGCATGATTGGCCTAAAGTCACCCAGCTGACTTCGTGCCTAAAGAAAGACTAGAATTCTCAGTCTCGCAGCATACCCAGATTGGTGAATTGTTTAGTGAAGTTGTGTAAAGTCTTTGTGTTTCAGTATCAGCAGATCAGATGCATTACATATATTGCAATGTATTTAGTAAATTAATTTATATATTTATATCAAAATGTGTGCTTTTCTATTTTATTCTTTAAATATATGTAATGAAGGCAAAATATTCATCCTAATACAAGCATTAAAACAATATTTATATGATTTGTTACTGTGTTTCAGTGCTACAGTTTTTATAATCAAAGAGATTTTGGGAGTATATAGATATATATACAGAAAGTAGACACACACACACACACACACACAGTTTATTTTAATTTCAGTGTTATAATTTTAGTAGTGTATTTCTGTCCTTAATGATTTTCATTAAATTAATACAAGTCAAATAAAGTGTATCATACTTCGGAAGTGCTAAATGCTATGCTTTGATTTGACCTTTATCATATTATTCAAATTAGTCTACATTTTTAATAAATGCTTTTTAATGAAGTTGATATACATTGTAAATGGTTCTTTTTTACTTTTAAATAATACCAAAATTGAATTTTTATCTCAATATGTGAAATAGTTATACCATGTAGCTTAGAGAGCTAAATCCCCCCTTTTAACCTTTTCAAAATAAAAATAAATAAAAACTTTTTTTTATGGCACTTTTCATAACCAATTTAAAAAAATTTACCCCAGTGCAAAGATTACATTATAAATATAATGTATAGCTAATGATAGAAGAAACCAGTGATATTCTATCTTGATCAGATAACGCTAATGCCTTGGTATCAGATTTAATGTTTTTCTTGTGTTTGGGAAAACAATTAACCAGAAATGAAAGTTGGCATTTTCCACAGCTTTTATTTAAATAGCACAATTTTTCTGTTAAAACACTAGTGTCCTGTTTACCTTTTAATCTTATTTTATCCTTTTATCTGCTAGAGAAGCTAAAAGGACAATAAGTAAATTAATAATTCTATAATATCCTTCCTTTCATGCCTTGAACTTTCACCTGAAAAATGATTTGTTTACATGAAGGAATGTACAAATGAATTCAATTTTTTTCATAATCTCTATAACAAAAGAACAAAACTGCTGATATTGTCCATGTAGGTGTTTATTCACTGTTTGATGGCTCTAATCTAAAAACAAATAACTATAGAACCCAGCATACTTCTGTGAATAAGTTGTTACAGAAGATGTGATGAAAACATGTTTTTGTTCCATACAACCATTTGATATATGTAGGGTTATAGAAAGTTTCATTGGACATTTACAGGTTTCAGGTGCTCAAATTCACACTATGCCTGTTCAAATTACATGTTTGTAAACCTGCTTCAGCTTTTAAAAAGTTGGGACACAGGATGTTCTGTGTCAGTACTAGAAATGTCTGTAATTTATACATCACATCACTTCTCCTTTAAGTATTAATTTTTTATGGTGCTGTGTATCTTGCTTGTGAGAATTGAATTACTGTTTAATTATTCATTAATCATATGATGTTTATGAATGAACAGATATTATGCAATGGGAAAAATACTTTATTAGAGGAGAGCCTTATTCTTTGGATCCAATTAGTGGCATGCCCTAAAACAACAATAATAACATCAGTCTTTTCAAATGAAATTTCACAATCTCCTCCCATCCTTGATTTTCATGTGCTAGATATATTTGCCTTGTTTTAGGAAAAAGAAAACTAGAAAAAGATAAAGGGATGGCTTTTCTTTTTCATTGTCTCTGTCAAAATGTTTCTTGGCACAACTGTTAAAAAAATTGCCTTGGTTGAGGATAAAACCTGTCAATTCTTTATTCTCACTTCCTAATAGGAAAATGTTTAAGAAATAGTTCCTAGAGGTTTATAAGCAAGGTTTATCAATTATCACTTTAAAAGTTGGTTTCAGGAGTGAAAGACTAGGTCCAGAGGTGAAGGTTCAGTTAAGCTGATTTATTGCTAGAAGTTTATGCACAGGAATTGTCTCAACTAATAGTCAGTACCTGGCTAGAGTTAGATCAGGGTCAATGGCATTCAAGGAAAGTTGTACTTAATTCTTTTGTGGTGGGGGATCAGCCTAGAATGTAAGGGTTTCACTCTGCTTCCAGGTTTTGCCATTCCTTCTTCTATATTTGGTAAGTATGGAGTGTTGGCAGATCCTAGTGACAGAGTACAATGCTTCTAGAAGTACAGAACTGTGTTTCTGTTGGTTGCACTTGTGCAACTTTGACAATTACTTTGAAGCATTTAAAGTTTTGTTGATCACAAAGGTGGAATTATGATTACCTTTTTTTTGGCTGAATCTATTAGCCTATTAACTGCAGTCTTTAGCACACTATTTAAATACTGCCTCCTTTGTTTATTGGGAATTACATTGTAGTAAGTGTTCTTTACTGTTTTGGACTGCATTTGGTTTTAGTAACTTGTTTTGTAAAACAAATGTGTGTTCTTTTCAAATTTCAAATTGAAAAGTGCTTATAATTTCAGTCATTTTAATGGCTTGTGTATCAAAGCTATAAGATGATATATTTTTTAGAAATTCTATTTGAAAAATAATAGTATTATGTCTGGCCATTACACTTCTGAATAGAGTTTTCAAATGTCATAAGTTAATTGAGGGTAATGTAGTCAAGAGGAGAATATGTTTTTAATACAGTGGATTAAGCAAAGATTTTGCCAGGCTTAAAACTGGGCAGAAATCAGTTTATCTTGTTGAGGGTTCATCTTTTATTGCTTGACTGAAGTTCCATTAGAAAAATTGAGGATTGCTGTTAGCAGGATGGATGGATGGATGGATGGATGGATGGATGGATGGATGGATGGATGGAGAATGTTCCAATAAGTCAAGCTGGCTATCTGCCAAAAATCTATTCCTTATTATGAGATTCAGGGCAGAACTGTGATTTTGGCGAGACCTTTATTATATAGAAAACATGCCTGGAAGCAGAGCTGCTTTTCTTTTATGGGAAAAATAAGCTTCCTTGTGCATAAAAAATAGGACATTACTAAACAATAAGCAGGTTGTCCTGATGACAGAGTACAACCAAGAAAATACTACTCAGGGGTACAACTGAAATGGGACCTTTTGACCCCATTGCATTTTTGTGATGTAAGGAGTAGGAGCATTTGTGAGACATCTGTTGTCTACCTGCCCTTATTTTGTAAATGGTTATAAAAGATTAAACAATTAGTGTAAGCACATGGACATTAATAAGCAAAATCCTTTTATTCCCAGTGTGATTTAGAAATGTGGACAATTCTTTGTGTCAGCAATATTTTTAAAATATAATTCATGGTTTATTTTGATTTCACTGTAAAAGAAAATCCTACAACTGCATTTTTACTGTGCATTTAAACTTCTATTAACAGGGTACTTGACAAATTTATTGGATTGACTAGATCAATTTTCAATTAAATATGTTAAAGATAGCTTTTAAGATTTTCCTTTACATATTTTAAATTTCAATAATTCTGTGTTTTGGCAGGCATTACCTGGATCTTCCCTTGGCCTTCCTCCCTCACATGTCTATGGCAATAGGTTAAATTCTAACTCGACAATGGCATCACATACTACACAAGCTGAAAACATTCAGTTAGGCAAGTTAATTTTTTTTAACTTTTAACTTTTATTTTTAAAAAATGTTTCTTTTTATTTATTTCCATGCATAACTGCTAGCTGCATTTTACACACAAATAATGTTTTACACCACAGCGTATGTGAAATGTAAATGTTTAAGCAGAGCAATGAGCAGGCAGGAATGCAACAATGTCTCTTGTGACTTTTTGTGATTGATGTGTTCAGTTGCTTTAGTTCTTTGCAATGAAAGTAGCATTGGGTTTTTGTTGTGAATCGTTTAAATCTTTATTTGCATAATTTATGGAATTACATGATCTCAGAGCTGGTATAGCTGAGATTGTGTTACATAAATTCACCAGTAACTGAATGAATACTAGTTGGTCTTTTTCATAGTACTAGTTTTTTTAAAAAATTAATGAGCTTCTGGATTTGCTTTGTTTCATTCTATCTTTTAAGGATTTGTTGACATGTCCTAATAGTCATGCCTATCTGGGGGAAGGGAATGAGTTTAGCAGTTTACCAAGAATGGATCAGTCATGTCTTGCCCTCTAAAAGGCCAAGGGTCATTTGCTGCAGAACAGGGGGAGGGCTGCCTTGAAAGGGGCAGATAGGGTTATTTTATTGAGAGGCCATAGGGAAAAATAACCCTTTTGAGTCATGCCATGCAAGACATTTCAGTATATTTGACAAAATGTTTTTTAAAAAATCTTTTCACCTCTTCTTCTTGTTTTCTTTTTATATAGATTAGGAAATTACTAAATACTTATTCTTTGGCATTAGTTGCTAAAATTTTGTGAGAAAAAGTTACTGGTAGATGTGACTACGTGGAATATGGTTTGTGAATTTTCCTGGGATGCAAAGTGTTAAAAAATACAAAGCCTGAGGATTTGCTGTGATAAGCATACAGATTAGCTGTCCGCAGCTGTGATTCATTACTTTCACTGCAGAAATTAAAAGTGGCTGAGGGGAGGGTACTAGAAATACAAACCGTGCTTGTGTGCTGTAAAACTGAAAGCAAAGAAAAGACTAAGGCTAATCTATGGCCTGCTTCACCCACAGAAATTTGTACGGAGAATACTTTATCCATTGCAGTTAGCAGCTTTAAAGTAGTAGTCCTCTCTAATATTGCTACTGGAATAATTGCTAATAGTGAAGGACATCTTGAAATGAACTCAGTCTGCGACATTTTAAAATCTTAGTTCAGAAAGAATCACTTTTGGCTGTGAAATATTTGCTGTGCAGATCAAGATCTTGGAGACAATAGCCGGAGCCTGGTTGGAAGGGGAGGTTCACCCAAAGGAAGTATTTCACCACGGTAAGCAAAATGTACAATCATTTAAGGAAAAAAATATTTTTAAACTGCAGAAACTTTTATAAGGTGCCCTATTTAAGTTGAATAAAATTATGTAGGTATGTTCAGTTGGAGTAAGAAAATATTTTAGATTACTTTGAATTCACAGGGATATCTAACATAATAAAGCTATGTCTTTTTCTCATGCTTAGAAATTACTGAAGAATTAGATACATTTTTTTACATTATCTGATCTCACTTATATAGTTAATTTTGCAGAGAAACAATTATCAAATGGATGCTATAGTAAAAAATATTAAATGCAAATATTTGTGTCTGTATGAAGTGTAACCACACTGAAAAAAGGGAAGAATCTTGTATAGGCAGTGAAATCAATATTCTTAAAAATTTAAAACAATCAGGATTCAATCAGGATAGGTCACTAGCATAAAATCATGCTACTGCACAGTTTGAGTGTGGAAGATTTTCTAATAATTATTGGGTAGCATTTTAAAAGTGTTTCATTTTAATGTATGATTGGTAGTACACATTTCTACTATAGTCTGCAAATAGTTAATGCATGGGTAATAAACTTAAAAAAAGGAATGTCAGTGTGCACTTTTGCTTATGAATTGCTATGTCATGGATAATGTGTGTGTTAGTGATCTGTGGCCAGATTTTCAAGAACTTGGAGATCTCAAAGACTGACTGAAAAATATATCCACTCTGCAAATTAGGCCAATGGTCATCTTAGGAACAAATCCTTTAAAATCTTTGGAAGCTGAGTGTGATTGACTTCTAATTAAGTATTGTAGAAATATACCTTACTGAAATATAAAGTTATATAAGAAAGTAGATCTTTAGATTAAAATGGTTTAGCTTGAACGGCTTTTATACATAATTATTTGTAAGGTTCCAGTCCCTAATAACTCATTTAAAATTAAATTAAATTGAGAATGTAATAACAATATTTCTTTGTTCTTCATGCTCCTTTTCACATTTGTTAAAATCTTAATTTTAATGTAAGCCCTGTGAATAATATTTAAGGCAGTTAACTTTTTATTTTAGCTTTTTAAGAAGGATTTTGCCCACTGTTTTAAGACTATTAAGTACGTAATTAAGGAGTCAAGACATAATACTGAGAAAATTATTTTGTTGTCCTTTGGATCTTGTCAATTATAATAAAATAAGCATGGATTGAAATAGCATAGAATTGCTAGATTTATATACAATGCTAGTATTAATATAAGCATACTACTTAATAAACATGTATATGGATATATGGAGGAACAATTTAGAAGATATATAGTACTATAGAATGTATGTAAAAGATTTTCATTCCTCAAATGAGGCAAAAATAATTTTAGGTAGAAATACATGTGTCAGAAAGATGCATTTTAAACATAGCAGAGTCCTCTTCATTTTAATCACATTCACCTGCTTTTAATATAAAAGCTGTCAGAATTATATCTAGCTAGTGACCTTCATTGAATCTAGTAGCAATAATCCAGCAAAGGCTAAGACTGTTTTCAGAGGAATTATTCAAGAAAAACGTAGGTATGGGTGATTTGTTCTCTGTCACTCTTTCTTTATACATACACATAGCCAAGTATTAAAGAGATGTTAGTTTTACTGCAATCTCTTATACATCTGTGGCTAAATAATCTTCAAATATTTCCATAAAGTTTATACCAGGGTTCAGCAATGTATTCAGGGCAACAAATGATATTATGTAGCAGTACTGCTTGAAGAATATAATCCCTTTTGAAAATATGTCAATAATTTGCTAGTCATTGGCTAGTAAAATCCATAAATATTTTTATCTTAATTTAATAATTGTATAATTCAGTACAGTATATTATCTCATCCTAGACATGGATGATGTGGTTAATTAACCATATGGAAGAGCAATTTACTGTTGGGTGAATTCTGATATTAAAGAGAAAAATAATTGCTTAACACTGTAATTTGAGTGCATGCCAAAACAAAACAAAACAAAAAACAATTGGTATGAGGTTATGATCTATTTGAAATTTTAATCCTAAAAATTAGGAAAAGAATGGTTCCTTTTCATAGCAGAGATAATTCTAGTACAAATACTACATTAAATGATGATTAAGTACATTTGTATAATATATGAATATAATTTATTCATTATTCCATCTCCACCCTCACCAATTGCTTGGTATATACCTTCTATTGTGTAAAAGAAAAACCTAGAGTGCTGGCTCTGTGTGTGTGTGAGGAGTGGGGGGGATGAATGTGTATTTTCAATGATAACTGGGAACATGGGAAAAATGTTATATATTTTTACAGTGAAGCAAGGGAACAATTACAATTTACCAACAGAAAAGTGTTGCTAAATTTATTTAATTTCAAAATACTAATATATAAGTTCTGTTATTTGATTATGTTTTGATACATCATGCTGCTTTAATGATATTTGTAAACACAGAGATAAAATGCTTCACATTTGACATTTCTAGTTAAAGTCATTATCATAAAATAATTTGTGATGTTGGTTTGTGTGCATATTAGGATATAAAACTTGCCAAATTGTGTAAAGGCCTGTGTAAATTAAATGTTGGTCATAATTTTCTAAATTAGTGTACTGGCTATATAAATATTTAATACTTTCCTGCACATCATTATAACTGCTGTTATACTCCAAAAGGGCTTTTTCTGTTGTTGTTAATTTTTGAATTCATTATATAGTGATGTCAGATGAATTCTTACCAAAAATATTCATTTTAAGTGAAGATGTCTGGGGCATGATAACTGTTTTTTGTTATATCTTCTGTAGCTATTTAATTGAAACAGACAATTTTGCCCTTTCTTTGTGCCCTAGAGCTGTAGCATTTTATCAAGGTGCTTATTTGGTTTGATATTTTCTAAGTGTATTATAGTTAATTTTATTATATATGTACGTATTTCTCATTATGCTTATATGTTTTTAAAATACCTTGTAAATTAGTACACTTTCAGTTATCTATGTAACATTAAATTAGTTCACCTAAATAATTGAAGTTTTGATTTTAGTGCAAAACTCTCCTAAAAGAATTGACATGCGGAAACTTCATCATTAGACTATGTGGTGCTGAGACCTATAGGTATCTTAAGGAGTATTGATTAAAAGAGTTAAGAATAGCCAAGAAAACTGATATGTGTATGTTGTATATATCTCCTCTCCCCTTGTTCTTTTAGTGTAATTCATAACCTTTCTACAGGTCTCCTGTAAGCAACTTACAGATTCGTTATGATCAATCTGGAAATAGTAGCGTAGAACATTTGCCTCCAACACCATCTACTATAGAACAACTTCTGGAGAGGCAATGGAGTGAGGGACAACAGTTCTTACTGGAACAAGGAACTCCCAGTGACAGTAAGTTTTTCATCCTGTCCTGATTAATTTTTTGATTGCTGTTAACAATATACATTGATGGCCTTACTATGTAATCTAATATGCATCGGAAAAGTATTATTGATGTTTGTAAATTTTATATTTGAAAGATGATCATCATTCCTGGAATGTAACCCATATGTTAAAATGTGATTCTAATAATCTCTTTCATTCCTGGTATGTAAAGACATGCCTAAAACATTAGTCATTTACTTTAATTTTGCCTCAAAATTATTCTGAAGTGGGAGGATGGTGATAAGAAAGAATTTGGTAATGAAATATGAGATCATAAATTTATTTTGAAAAGATGTAATTAAAGCTTGTCTGATTCTTCAATGACTAGTGATATTTTGATTACATATGCATATAAATGCATTAAATATTTGAATTGTTTTAAAATTATTTTACTATTTTACAAAAAGTTCCTTTAGTATATTTTCTTGATTACCGATCATGAGTGAAGTGCCATCTAGAGGTATGTATGCACACGTGTATGTGTGTATGTACTTTGTGTGTTTTTATGAATGGTATTCTGACAAAAATGCTAATTGTGAGGAAATTCATGCAGGGATAATCCTTTAAACATGATAGCTGGAGGACAGGTTTAGCTAAGTCTTATTGCATCTCATTTGGGCACACTGAGAGTTCCTTTGTATATTCTTGAAGAGGAGGGATAAAAAGCTAAATCCTTGGGAAATGACCAGATGTGCCTGCACTGCTATACTTGTGTCTGTACTAGGCCTAAAGGTCATGTTAAGCAAATACAATTTAGAATTTTAAAAGCAGCTTTTAAGATGGTATAATGGCTAAACTGTCTTTATATGCTAACAGAGGAAAGTTCCAAATTTTATCCAAAATTCAAATTTCAGAGTAGAAGTGACCAAGGATGTGCTTTATTTGCAGGAAGAGGGCAAGGGCTGTAGGAGCCTTAATGATCCCTGCTGAGTGCTCTTTAAATGGACATTGGAAACAGCTGGATTTTCTCCCAGCTTGTTTTTAAAAAAATCTCCATTTCAAATTGAGTAAAGTAGAAAACATATGTACAACATGTTCACAAACTTTAGTAGGGTAAGGGCTCTGGACTGAAGCTTTGAACTGTTAAATATCTCCACAAGAAATTAAAAAAATATGATGTTTAAGAATTTCACAATATTTTTGATACAACAATAAAGATACTACTCTTTCCATAGTGTCATTGGCACTATACTTCCAGCAAGGGAGGAATCTTAGGCTATATATTTGTGGATGAACAGTTCACAGATTTGGTCTGTTTGTCTTATCTAGAAATAATACATTAATAGTCATCATGGCTAATTTCAAGAAACATTTGAAATATTTTTTTATTTCTTCAATATTTTATAGAGATATAATTTACATTGCAAAAGAAATATTCTCCACTAATTTATTAGCAAAAACATAATTACAATAATGTACCAATCTAATTGCACATATAGAATGATGCAGAAACAATTTTTAACTGCAACTTTCAGGGTTTAAAATGTTTTTGTTTAGTTTTAGGCATGCTGAAATCTTTACACCAGCTTCAAGTTGAAAATCGCCACTTAGAAGAACAGATTAAAAATCTAACTGCTAAAAAGGAGCGCCTCCAGCTCTTAAATGCCCAGCTTTCAGTTCCTTTCCCAACAATAACAACCAATCCAAGTCCTTCTCATCAAATGCCTACTTTTTCAGCACAGACTGGTAAGTAGAGAAAAGTAGGTCTCTCTTTTAAATTGAATTTTACAACAATTTCTAAAAGGCTTATAAGCTCTCACCTAAATAAATTATGAATGTTATCTCTCTGGGAAAAATAATTTTATTATTCCTCTTTTCTATAATATGTCTTCCAAAATGAATAAAGCCTGAGAACATTTTCAAAGAGAAAGTCACATATGTATTAGATATGTTTAAACTTTTGAGGATGACCAAAAGGGAAATTGACTTAAATTATCAGTTTATGTACCTTTATGATGTCAGAAATCATTTACAGGTAATGGGATTTCCCCCTAAATATTATAAAAACTGCAGTTCAAACAACAGCTTTCTTTTTAACATCTTTTTAACTTTTCCAGCTATGTTTGAATCCATTATCAGCAATAAAAATTGTGGACATAAATAGCTTGATTTATTAGTTTCAAAGTTTAGATTTTATTAAATAGCCTCACATAATTTCTGCATCAAAAAGCATAAGACCTTATTAAAATTGTTTTTCAATTGTCACTCTAGCTGTTAGCTCTGATTCTCTAAACAGCAGCAAAAGCCCTAACCTGGGAAGTAGTTTTCTACCTGACAACTCCCTTCCTGTATTAAATCAGGTACTGTGTTTTTAATAGCTTTTACATATCTCATTAGTTAATACTAATTTCCTATTATTTTGCCATTTTATGAAGTTTGATACAGCTGAGTCTTTGTATTTTTATTAGGAAATACATTCCAGTGGACAAAGCACTAGCAGTTCCTCTGCTCTTTCCACTCCACCACCTGCTGGGCAAAGTCCAGCTCAGCAAGGCTCAGGAGTTGGAGGAGTTCAACAGGTCAATGGTGTGACGGTGGGGGCACTTGCCAGTGGAATGCAAACTGTAACATCCAACATTCCCACAGTGGGTGGAATAATTGGAACTCTGCCAGGTAACCAGCTGGCAATCAATGGAATCGTTGGGTCTTTAAATGGAGTAATTCAGACTTCTGCTACAATATCACAAAATCCTTCTCCTCTAGCTCACACAGCTGTGCCACCAAATGCAGTGCATCCTCTGCCAACCACCCTCAGTAACAGGTAAATCATTTTGCCAAATAGATATGTAAATAGGTATATTTGGATATAATACTTTTAATGATGAAAGAATTTGCTTACAGGTTTTTGTCTCTCTCATGTTCCCATCCTGCATTACACAAGTAATTTACCAAAGTATGTTTGGATTTGATGCATATAGGTTCAATCAATCAATAAACAAATAAATAAATACATTCTGAACTACATTCTCCACTCTTCCTTCCTATCTCACAGTTTGCACTTTACCTTAGTATGTTTATGTGAATACAAAATTAGTGATATATGTGTGAGGGAAAAAGAAAAGTCAGACTGTTTCCTGAAACAGTTTAGCAATCTGGGTCTCAATCCCAGCATGCATTCATGCTGTGCAAATTAAGCAGCATAAAGGCATAATAAATCAATCTACAGTAGAAAATCAAAAAGGATGATCCAGAGAATGATGACCATCATCAAAAAATTCCTGTCTCATGTAAGTTCTAGGTTTTCAAATTTAAGTTTCCATAAAGGTAATCACTTCATCAGGGATCCAAGATCCAAATGGCTTAAAATATTAAAGGGAAGGTTAAACTTGATTCTTAGAATATTGGAGTGACACATTCTAAATGCCTAACTGAGTTTTCTTCCTACTTGTGTGCCAACAATAGAGTTGTGTTAGTTCTTCCAAACTTCCAATGACAAGTATGAGGCCTATCTATGATCATAAGGTAGATTAAAGACACTCTTGCTGTTGCCATCATCTATATTATCATCACCAAAATAGTCAAGGAGCATCTCAAATTGTAGCATTAAACCTTTATAAAGTGCAATGGCATCCAGAAGCAGTTGAGGTTCTCTGTCAATATCAATCTCTTATCGTTTTGGTATTTTCCTAGCCCAATTTCAATATCAGAATTAAGTTTCAGTTTATTTCAGCCTCACCCATTGTTTCCAAATCCTTGCTCAGAAATTCCATAGGCTTCTCAAATTAATAGATAAAGATGGTTATTTGATGTGTGGCTCATCTGCATATTGATGACTCTTTAGTCAAATCTTTTGATACCTTTGTTATCACCTCTAGTTATTCAGATGACTCCAATTTGAGATGCCACTATCCTCTACTGAAGTTTAATGTTAGTATGCTTGATAGAGAGTGATTATTGCCAAAAACTATAAAGATTTTATTTAGTTTATTTTTAAAAAATGTTAATATTTTTAAGTTAATAGGAGGAATTTGTCTTCTAGGTAAGACACACAATCCAGCAATGCTGATATTAAATTTAGTTTGGCTAACTGAATTAATAGGAATTTGCAAATACTTAGAACACAAGTAGGACGCCCAAGCCTCCAGGAAGCAGTTATTTCATTTCCATAAATTGTGTACACTGAAATAAATGTTTACAATTTTATTTTATCTTCAGCTGTTTTATTTCAGAGCATAACATAGAGTCACTTTTACAAGTAGTGACAAGTTGATATTTGTACCAACTTGGGCTTTATTCCTATCATTCAAGATTTCATACCACTCAAAGTTGCTTCACTGGTCAACAATCTTCAAAGCTACTTTGGAAAGGGAAATGGGAACTCAATTTTAAGATTGATGTAGAAATGTAGGTTTTCCATACATAATCAGCATTCATTGTTTGCCTAGTGGCCAGATTGATGCTTTGTGTATATAAAATGTATGACTCCCCATGTTTTGCATCACATAAATAACTTAGATGCAACAGGCAGGCAGCATTGCTAATATTTGATCTCATCAGTTGCTTTGGCATTCAGTGTTCCTTCAATTATTCCCATTTGCTCTTAATATTAGTTTTGCCAGATGCTCATAAAAGATGTATTAGTGTCCTTCATTGGAAAAGTTACATTTCAAGTTACCTATTCTATTTAATGATAGTGTTTAGATAGAACCAATGATTAAATCATATGAAAATTGAGACCTGAAACAAAATATTTTTTTAGAAAAAAGTGATGAAAAGTTCATAGTTAGTGATTGAGCAAAAGAAAATATGGAACTCCAAATACTGAATGAGGAATTCTAGAATGAAATAGTTAAAATGTTTGCAGTGGACTACAAAATTGTTCATTGAAATAAAGAATGTCTGAAACTTAGAAATGGCAGAGAAGAACAGATTTTCAATGCTTAATTTGAAAATATTCTATATTTTCCCTCGCATTATTAAACATATTTTAATTTGTTTTGGCAAATATATGCTGATTTTTTATATGCAAGTATTTTTGACTGCATATACGACTAGTTGCTTAACGATTGGTTGACTTTATCAAGGACTTTAAAATGCTACTTACAATCCATCCTCAATGTTCCTGATTACTAGCACCACATTCCTCTACCCTCAGACACATGACTGTATCTTGAGCTTTGCAACTGGCTCGTATTTATAACTCACTGCGCTAATCTGCAATCCCATGACCACGATTTGCAACATATTTTGCCATTTTCCAGCAGAGGTTTGAAAGCCCATTTCACATGCTGATTCACTTAATGACCACATGGTTTGCTTAACAACTGTATTGATTATCTTTACAACTGTCATAAAAAGTTCCAAGTCTGGTAAGCAATGCCCCAACATACAACCATAAAGATTTATGACTGAAATTCTGTACTCCAGTATGATCGTAAATTGAGGACTAGATGTAGTGGAGGTAGTTTTCCTGCACTACAGGAATTTAAAAATTCCCTAGATTTTTAAAATATGTAAGGAAGTATTTATGCCTCTCATCCTTCCTTCTTCAGCATAGCTCAGCATGTCACTGAAAATGTAGGTGAGATTTTCAATTTTTGTATGATTAAATACACCAGTTATGTTAGCATTTCAGTGATATTAAGTACTTTGATAGTTCAGTTGTATTATTTTCTAATGTTACATCAGTAAATGTTGTATAAGTAAATGTTTAAGATAAAAATTGAGTATATGCTTAGCGAAACACACGATCAACCTAGACACATAAATCTGTATATATTTTCATTTTAAATGATTTAGCTTTTCAGAAAGTAGGGTAGAGAAATGATTCAAGCATGTTTGCTCAGTAAAATGCACTTTGCTATTTCGTAGAACCTCTGGACTTGGATTTCTCCCTGACCAGCAGAGACAACTGTTGCTGCATCAACAACAACAGCAGTTTCACCACTTACTAAATACTCAACAATTCACAACAGTAAGCGTTTCTATTTTATCATTACATTTTCAATGTTCAGGAATGAGTGTTGATGCTTAGATATTACAGCCTGTCTCTGAATGTTCATGGATAAGACAGAGATCTGCAATTTAAAAAAAAACCAGGAAAGAATGGGATTAAAAAACATAGGATTTATGACCGCCTTAAAAGATTTGGCATGTCTTCACTTATTGAATCAAAAAATAAAAGAGCAATAAGAGAACGTACACACTATTAACGGGAGAGCCAGTTTGCTCTAGTGGCGAGGGCCAAGCTATAAAGTGGGAGAACATGAGTTCAAGTCCTGCTTTAGCCATGAAAGCCAACAGGGTAACTTTTGGGCAGTCACTCTCTCAACCCAATAATANAAGGAATCAAACTCCTGGCAATGTGAGCAGTTAGCCTACAATATTGCATTCCAACCACTGTGCTATCGTGCTCTGGAATATACAAAATTTGTTGACTAGGAATGGAACTTTTGTGGAATGTTCTATTTCAGAATTGACTAAATTTTTCACTTCCCTACCTCTGCATGTTCCATTGGAATAGGATGAATGTAATGCCAATGTTATATGATAATAAAACAGAAAGTGTAACATTCTTAGGGAATGAGTGATTATTAACGAAAACTGAAATATAAGATACTTAGAAGATGCAATCCTGCAATATGACTTTATATTAAAGGATATTTGCTCAGTTGTTCCAATATGCATTCCAAATGACATATCTTAAATACCAATTACCATAATGGCAAAAAGCCTTCCTGTACAAAAATACATTGATTCTATTAAAACATATTTCAAATTGAAGGTGTAAAATTTACAGATTTTTACTAAGGCACATGACATACTGAAATACTGAGGTACAAAAATACAAGTCACTGCATATGATGTTTAATGTATCTCATCTTGATGAATAGTATTCTTCAAAATGTTCAGCTTTTGGCCATTTTTTTCTTTTGTATAAGTTCAACCAAAAGTTTGTATCTAGTCATACATTCTTCCTGTAGAAAAAGAAGAAAACATGAAGTATTAATGTGTAATGTTCATTTTTAAAAGCATTATAGACAATTTACACTAGGCAGGAGAGAAAGGGAAAACATTTTCTGAGTTTATGGGGAAAAAGTAGTATATTATTATGCTTTGTCCCTTGTCTGCTTGGTGTGCTCATCTCTGGACCACATGGTGGCACATGGAAATGACTAGCATTTTGCTCCTGTCCACTTGTGGATGTTGACAAAAATGGCACATGAGATAAATTGTTCCATATTGCTGCCTTATCAAGATTAGACAGCACTATGGAAAGTTTCTGAAAGCTGCAGATTGATTCTGCAGCATTGTGCAAACCATGTTAAGGGAACAAAACAGTGGTTTGTCCCATGGCTACATGGCTTCATTCTGGAAGCAACACCCATATTTCCAGAAGCCAAATTGAATTCTGGTATTGTAAATATTGCTGCCACTTCTGGAATCAAGCCACATGGCCTTGTGATGAAGTGTGGTCTATTCTAGCACTCTGGAAGACCTTAGAGCTCATCAAAAGGTAAGTGAGGAGGATGGTGTTTTGCATAGTGGAGTGGGAATTAGGCCTAAGGCTTGGGGAGACCTGAGCGGCATAGAGAAAGACCTGTGGAAACTCAAGGAGCAGGAAGCAGGTGGGCCTAGGTCTATGCTAGCCTACAAGGGCCTTTCCCACATGAGGCACTCCAAGCTCCACTTGACCCGTAAGCTTGTTTAGGGAGGCCAGGGATGGAAAAATCAAGTGATACACACTATTTAATGGCCATCACAACGGCTCATGGGGTGCTTAGCTGGCCCCCAGGTTCACCTTGGAAACAGCAAAGGACTAGTTTGCGATGCTTCTGCCAGTGAAAATGGAACTTTTCACTGGCACAGGGATCAGGCCACCAAAGGTGCCCCTGACATGAGTGACATCAAGCTGGCCACACACGCCCTGGCCCCATCCCCCCCCAGGTCAAACACAACCTTGATGTGGCCCTCAAAATCAAATTTGACACTCCTGACAGGGTTTTATAAGTATTTCCCACCCATCTTGAATTGGGCTTGGAATGGGCAACCATTGCTGTCCTCAAAGAATAGACATGCCAGTTATTAAACCTGTTCAATCCATGGCAGCTCCAGACTCAGGTTGTCTTCAAGGGCTTTCCCATGTAAAATGAATTGCTGTGAGGTAACAAGAGCCTGATTCATTGCTGGTGCTCTGGAGACAAGGACATTACATTGCATACTTGCTTCTTCTAGAGCAATGCCACCAAAGTCAATAGCTGAACTGTCTATGGATCCATAAGGGTTTTGCACTAACAATGGATGTGTCTTGCTGGGACACAGAAAGAATGTGCTTTAATCCATCTACTTCCTCCTACCTTCCAAGTATCCATTCAAGATACTGGAATCTGTGTAGTGCCTCAAAAATTCTAAGCCTATTTTTCCAGAAGACAAATTGATGGTTATAAGCCATCTATGTTCACTGCATATAGAAATATATTTATACAATTTTTTCCAATGTATATCTGCTGCTGCCCAGAATATATAATTAAAATATTCTCAAAATTCACAAGCCTGAACAAAGCAGTAAGCAGCTTTTTGTGTGTAACAGTTACAGTTCTACTACATTTCAGGAAATAGTTTGAACAGAGTATAAAGTTCCATCTGCTTTGTGCACCTCTACCAAAAGCAAATATTTCGAACATAGTTAAACATAATGTACCTCACACTAGAAAAATATTCTGCTTGATAGCTAAGAGATGTACTATTTCAATCCCTCTTTCTAGCCATATCCTTTCCAACATCTTTCATATATCCAGGATAATGAAAAGCAAAACTATAACTAATCAATTCCTGTCACCTAGTATTCATTATCTAGTACATTTGACAACTGCTTACTGGCTAATTGTGGTACAGCCACTAATATTAAGACAACTCTACTGAATAACATAAAACACGGCAAAGGTTTTACTTACTCTTCAATTTCCCATCTTTGGCCATGCATCCAAAACCTCTGAAATTTTGTTAGGATTGCTTACCTCAAGGTGCTCACCTTCTTTAAATTACATTTACAATCATGTAATATTTCCATTAATAAACTATTTAATTAGTTGTTTGGACTGGTCTTTTGCTCTAGTCCCTTCATCACCTTCCTCATCAATCATGCTTTGATAGTTAAAAACATTAAATTATCGGCAAGTTGGGGGAGGGGGGAGAAAGACAGAACATTTCCCACCTTACTTGGTTATTTTCCTATTGAATATACTGCTTCATCTGCTACCTGACTTGTCTGGGGAAAATGAGTGAAGAGAGAGAGCAATGTATCAATTAACTAATTGCAAGATATCTGCTCCCATTTGTGTCCACAAATTTTCAGTCACAAATACACTGGAGAACTACGCTTTGCTACAAAACATGGATTTCCTCAGTAACTTACAACCTACAATATAGATTGCACTCAAGCCTTGGAAAACCCTGCACTGAAAGTAGCAAGGAATATAAATGGAAAGAAATTAATCACCACCCACAGGTAGCTTTCTAGCAATTGCTTGAAAACTGAAGAACATGCTCTCCTCCCTCAGATAAAACTTTTGATATAATCAAGGAGGCTACTCATTCATTTGAAGCCTCTTGTGAAACACTGGTCCTTTAAAATTTTGCTGGAACATAACAGACTAGGAATACAAACATATTTTCCAGGATTATGATTTCATAGTCAGACTAAATTAGACTATTTAACATTTATTTGGTGTTCTAAACAGAGTATGTAACTGCTTTCTCCATATTAAGTCAACATAGTTGAATTAGCTTCTATTATTTCAGAGATAGATGATAGAAAACATTAAAAGGACATGCTCTTGCTTGTTATAAGGGACATGGTGGCTCAGTGGCTAAGTCGTCAAGCTTGTCGATTAGAAAGGTCCGCAGTTTGGCAGTNATATATATATAAATAAATGTATATATCATTGTGATTTCTGATCCATGCATCTGGATTATTTGCCTACAAACAATACTATTCAGACCTGTCTAGGACTTTCAAACTTGTTTGATTGGAGGCATGTTAGACATGTTCCCATTGATTCCCTTCAATCTGTTTTCTGTCATCACAACTTTAACCTTTTTTGTTCTTCTGCTTTACTGAAAGCATTTCATTCCTTTTTAAAGTATTTTTAGCATTTCTTCAAACATCATTAGAATTTTTCACCAGGACATGGTTTTTTCTATCACAGATATCCAATTTTGAGTCTTATGACAAGTGCTAGTGTTTATGAGAACAAATGGGCATGAATTGGACTTTTTTTGCCTTGGTGAAATAGACTTCCATTTTCTCTACCATGCATTCACTAAGTATCTTGTTGTCTTCCAAATTGCTTGGTGATCATCTCATTTTTCCAAAGGTTGATTGAACTCTCCACAATCTGAAGGGATTGTGCAGATCTCTATTGCACCACCATCAACATATCTCATTAAAAATTCAGAACTTTTTCAGAGGTTTCATATTTCAATCAGGGCAAATTGAAAAAGCTTTTGTTTCCTGCCTTCTTGAATTATTCTTCTATTGTTCCTGCTGTTTCTAAATTTAATGTATTCTGTCCAGTCCTTACCAATTTTTGTTCAAGCACATGGTTTGATCTCAGAAACATATTTAGGTCCCTCTAAAATCCTACTTTTGCAGAACTGTAGCATTGGGATAGTCCAAACCAAAATTTTCCCTTCACCTCATGCCTATTCTGTTTCTGAAGGACATCTCTCTCCAAATTCTTTGACTCTATGCTTTCCCACTCTTCTATGACATATAATTTCTTACCAGGTTTTTCATAATCACAATTATTGTACCTGTATTTCCTGGAATAGTTCAAGAGGTACTAAGGTAAAACTTTGCATGTATTGACTAACTCCATATTCTTATCAAATTCCATCACCTCATATTTGTAGATTTATAACATATAGCTTTTGCATATGTTGCATTCTCATTTTCAGAACTTTCCTTCTCAGAGATGTTCCTTCAAGGTAGATCTCACATCTGAGTTTAAATTGGTGTCGTTTTATGTTCAGCACTATTTTACCCTAGACAGAGAAACTTGCTGAAGTCATTTGGCCACATTTTTGGTCCACTGTCATTGATAAGATGACATCATGTTGATTCATTCCCTATCAGAGCTTACGCCAATCTTTTTCAACTTGGTGATTATCCCTTTGATTCATCCTTAATCTAGATCTTAGAAGCCACCTCATTGGAATATATTTGAAAATGTATTTAGATTCTTAGCATTCCCAGTAAGTATTTTCAGAGAAGAACCATTACCCATTTTGTCTAAAAAGAATGAATTTTGGAGATTTTCCTATCTTTCCATTTGTGTATCCTTATAGTATCTGTTCTGTAGTGAGATTAGAAAAGGGTAGGATGAATTCCCAGTGAACACTGTTGTCCTCAAGAAACAAAGTGAAATACCACTGAAAATAGTGCAGATGTTGCCTTTAAAATATGGCAGCTGCCATTTTGACCCATTTAATTTTTGAATCTTGTTGGCTGAAGAGGACAATGTTGTATAATGTGTAACGGATTGAATTAATGTTTTGCTGGGTGTCTCATCCTTCCCCATGCAAATATGATAAAAAACTAACTATAATTTTCCCATAGAAAGGACTTCATGATCAAGAAATACACCATATTAAATTTGGAATTCACCAAGTTTACTGAATCTTGCCCAGTTGTTCATTTCTTGGTCTAAATCAGGAGGAACCTGTTACCTAGTGGATGTTTCTAAAGGACAAATTTCATCACCCTGAGTTACTGGGTTTGTTAGGTAGTTGGGAAATTAAAGTTGGGAAATACATTACAGTAAATGTTGAAAGGCCACACCACTCACTTTATAAATCTTGAATCCAAAAAGAACGAATATGTGCAAAAAATCATTTGCATTGTTCGGAATTTTTCTAAAGAGGATAGACACACCCACGTCTTGAGTGTCTATGGAGATTCTCAATCATTTAGGTCGTGGTTGTCCCAAAGGTGCTTTTCTTTTTTTCTTTTCCTTTGAAAATGTTTCACTTCTCACCCAAGAAGCATCCTCAGTTCTGAAGAATGAACTGAATGGCCTTTTGGAAAAAAGCAATTTTGGGACACCCCTCTTTGAGAAGCTATTAGATCTGTAATTCCTCACTGAGATCTTGTCAGAATGGTTCTCCAAAAATAGAAGTTTGCTTATACCTTATCTTACCAGTATTTTGATTTTTGACATAGAATATTCATCAGTTGTAATTTGAATGTTTGCATTGGTTATGTCACTAGAAGACATCTGACAGAATCTTTCTTGCCCTGCCCTTTCAACTTTTTCTCTTTTTGTTTTATAGTTCACAGGATGAGTGAGAGGTTTGCTGCTTGTTTTCATTCCCTTTTTGTGACTGTTACATTTGTTCTCTCATACTTGTCTGCTTAGAATGAGGTTTTGTTCCTCCAATAACCTTGTAAGAGATTATGATTTGGGACCAGTGAACTTCTTAGTTGGTCATGAATTTGAATCTGAATATTCTGTATCCAAGCACTACCATATATAATCTCTGATCCTACTGCAATGAGAAGCTTTCAGAAGAATATTTTTAGCTTTCTTCCCTGGAACAATGAAATAATATTGTCACTTTTTTCTACTCCAAACTATAAAAAACGTTTCCTTAGGATACAATGAGAGCGCTATAAATCCTGGCTGAGTGAGAACCGTTTGAAAGTTTCGTTTTCATCCATGTTTAACTACTTGCATGAAAAATATAGTGATCTATAAGGTAACTAAATGTCCCTCCACTATTGTACTAAAGGAACAGCATCAGGCTCTTCTGTATCAACTAGTGCAACAACATCAACCTGAAGTACAGCAACTACAGCTTTCAGGAGCCACACAGATTCCCATTAATAACTTGCTGGCAGTCTCTCAGGCATCTCCACTTCACACAGCTGCTACTAACCCATTCCTTGCAGTTCATGGGGATAATGCAGCTCCAAAAGTCTCTGTAAGTATATAGAAGTTGGGTTTGTAATAAAAAAACTTACAAAGCAAAAAAAAAAAAAAATCCTGTTCATAAGAGAAGTGCAACTTAAAGCAACTGGCTTGTATTATCACAGCTATTTGGTAGCTGTCACTGAATGAACCAAGTAGTTCTAATTGTTCTATCTCTCACTCTGATAAAGCTGAGAATGTGAACCTCACTACAATGAAAATTAGCATAAATTTTTCAAAGTTCCTAATTTATAGTCATATGGTTGGTGATCTGTGCTGGATTCATTCCAATAGTTGCAGCTTTGACCAGCAGCAAGTTTCTAAACCTCACCCAAGCAGCAAAGAATCTGGTCAGAAAACTAAAATGCACATATATTCTATATTTTTTTTAAAGTTCATTTTTCTGGTTTTAACCAATGGCAGGCAGTGTGTGAACTACTTTTTCTTCCAGTGGATAGTCTTAAAACCACGTTAATTCTAGCATAATGTTCCATTGTATAAACCTGTGATGGCGAACCTGTGGCATGTGTGCCACAGGTGGCAAGCAGAGTCATTTGTCAGAGCATGCAAGGCTTGCCTTAGCTGGCAGTTCACTTCGGCCTTCTTTTGAGGCCATTTTTCACCCTCCGGAGGCTTCAGGAGCTTCCCTGAAGTCTCCGGAGCATGAAAAACTGCCCCTACAATTTCACTTCCAGTTTGCTTGCAGTGTTGTTTTTGACCCTCCGGAGCCTTCAGGGAAGCCTCATGAGAGCTCCTAAATGCTCCAGAGGGCTAAAACCAGCCCTACGAGCAAACCAGAAGTGCATTCCTGAACTTCTGGTTTGCCCGTAGGGCCGGTTTTTCGTGCTCCAGAGGCTTCAGGGAAGCTCCTGAAGCCTCCAGAAGGCCTCCGTGAGGGGGCAGGGGGACTGTTTTCACCCTCCCAAAGTGCCTAGAAAGCCTCTGGAGCTTGGGAAGGGTGAAAAAAGAGTGCCAAAAGCAGGGGGGAGCACTGGTCGCATGTGCATGCACGCAGAGGGCCGAAATGTGTATGTGTGGCACACTTGTGCACTCCCCTGCGCTCCCCCCGCTTTTGGTACGCCAGCCAAAAAAGGTTCGTCATCCCTGGTATAAACTGTTATCACTGCTAAGATTGCATACTTAAGTTTAATGATACCAAATATGGTTTCAGTCAAAGGACCCACCTCTGGAATATCTAGGAAAACAATAAAGAGGATTGTGAGCATTAACTAAATATGCCTTACATATGCATAAATAGCCAGGAATTTTGAATTGAAGAGTGAGTTGAAGGTAGTCTTGTATCTCAATTCTCTCTCCTTCCTTAGCTACTAATCACTGTTCTGAAATAAGATCTGTCCAGTAATTACTTTTAAATTCCCTAATCAGCCAAGAGTATTTACTGGACTGATATTTTAGTCAAAGTTAATTTAAGGAAGTGTGAGAATTAAGGATCGTACTTGTGGTGGTCAACCAAAAGTTTTAAAAAGAGGTTGTTTTTGTTAAATTGTTTTGAATTTCCTATTACTGCATAGCTAAACCTAATCAGTTTCATATTTGCTGCTTTTCTATTTCAATAATAGGCCAAATGAATGTAGAACTTTTTTCTTGGCTATTCAGAACAGGATATGTCCTGAACTTCCTTTTTAACATTGTTTCCCATTTTGTATATTGCTAGTATGGCAAAAGCAGAAGCTGGATGAATCAAGGAACAGGATAAGAGGCTTCTAGCTTGATGGGGTGACCTTTCCACTCCCTCCCCGGGAGTGAGTGTACTCAATGCAGATAAAATTCCCTCTCACTCAACAGCAGGGAACAAAAAGCAAGGACCACATGCTGCTTTCTGTGCCCATTTGGACTTGCAAAAGAGGCTAAGCAGTCAGAAAAGAGAACAATTAGCAGATGGAGATTTACCTTGGCAGCAGCTTTGGAGGCCAAGCACTCCTCAGTTCAAAGTATCAGTTGTAGTATTGCTTCTGAGCCTTAGAAAGTATTGCCAGGTATGTGTACATGGGTGGGACTAAAGAAGCTCAATCCTTTAAAATTTCTTTGCTGTGCAGATATATTCTGGCTAGCTGTATAAATTGTTTATTACAAAAACACTGGCAATTTTAGCAGTTGTAAAACAGTATATTTCTTCTTTTTTCCCCCCCTCCAGCGGCTTAGTGATAAAAGTGGATCCCTTGCGCCAGAAAAAAATTAACACTTGGAAGTGTATGTAAAATCGCAAAATCCTGCTGATAGCACTTCATCTGGCTGTGAGTTGCACTCTCTCTCTCTGCAGGTATGACGAGACACATCAATGAGCTAACTGCACACTGGAAAAGTGAATCTACCTGAAGATGTTTATTGTAAAATTTGACCTTGTTGCTTTGTGTTGCACTGAAACTGAACTGTTTCCATCAAATTGCTTGGAAGCTTGGATTTCAGATTAGAGCACTGTTAGTTTAGTCAACTGATTGGAATTCAGTTGCTGACTTTACATAAACTGCAGTGCTAAAAGTCAGATGTTTAGTTACATCAGTTCTTTGAAGAAAGCAAAGAAAATATGGTTTTTTTGCCAATGACATGGTGGTTTGTCATCAGTGTTTTAGAAGCACCATTTTTTCTTCAGAAAAGAACCAGGTTTTAAGTCATTTATTTTGTCTTACTAGTTTTTAAAATGTTTTGCTAGAATGAAAACATTTAAGAAATGACAAGTAATATTTAATTTTGAGATGGATTTTTCAAGATCACTGGAAAAGCATCTGTTGAAAGTCATAGAACTCTTACCAGATGAGAAAGGTAACTCCTATTCTGGTAGTATTTAATGTAACCCAAGTGCCTGTTGCTTCCCTCTGTTGGGTTAGGGATGGCTTTAGACAGCTGGGCATGCACTAAAATGAGATAAAAAAAGCCGCAAGTATATTCAACTTTGCACCAGCAGCCTTCCTTTCTGATCTGCCTTTACTAGAAGTGTTCGTCACTATCTATAGTGACGCAGTGGTTAAAAGCAGCACTGCAGGCTACTGCTAGATCAGCAGGTCAGCGGTTCAAATCTCACCGGCTCAGGGTTGACTCAGCCTTCCATCCT